GCGGGGGGGTGGAGGGGGATGTGGGGACAGGGACACATGTGTAATATCTTAATCAATAAAAAATATAATAAATAAATAAATAAACTACATATGACAAACTCACTAATGTCACACTCAAAGGTGAAAAGCTGAAAGCTCTTCCTCTAAGATCAGGAATAATACCAGGATGCCTACTATCTCCTCTTCTGTTCAACACGAAATTGGAAGTCCTACCCATAGCAATCGAACAAGAAAAAGAAATAAAAGGCATTTAAATCAGAAAGGAAGAAGCAAAACACTAATTATTTGCAGATAACATGATACCACATATAAAAACCCTAAAGACCAAAACACTGTTAGAATAAATGAATTCAGTAAAGTTGCAGGGTACCAAGTCAATATGCAGATTAGTATTTGTTGCATTTCTATACACCAATGATAAATTATCAAAAGGAGAAATTAAGAAAACCATCCTATTTACAATTGTATCAGAAAGCACAAAATACCTAGGAATAAATTTAACCAGAGAGGTGAAAGACCTGTACTCTGAAAATAGTAAGACATTGAAGAAAGAAACTAAAGAAGATACAAATAAATGGAAGGCTCTATTTTGTTCATGGTTTAGAATGATCATTATTGTTGAAATGTCCTCATTACCTAAAGCAATCAATATACAGATGCAATGCCATCCCTATTAAAATACCAATGGCATTCTTCTCAGAATTAGAACTAATCCTAAAATTCATATGAAACCACAAAAGACCCCAAATAGCTATAGAAATCTTGAAAAAGAACAAAATGGAAGGTATCACATGCCCTGATGTCAAACTATATTACATGGCTACAATAATCACAACAGCATGGTACCTTGGGGTGATAAGCACACAGTACAACATTCAGAGGATGTACTGGAGAGTTGTGTACCTAAAACCTGTATCATTTTATTAACCAATGTCACAATTAATTGAATAATAAAAGACAACATGGGCCCTAGCCAGTTTTGCTCAGTGGATAGAGCATTGGTCTGTGGACTGAGGGGTCCCAGATTTGATTCCGGTCAAGGGCACATGCCTGGGTTGCGGGCTAAGTCCCTGATAGGGGGTGTGCAGGAGGCAGCCTATCAATGACTTTCATCATTGATGTTTCTATCTCTCTCTCCCTCTCAGAAATCAATAAAAATATTTAAAACAACAACAAAAAACCCAGCATGGAACTTGCATAAAAACCAGATATATTATGAAATAGAATAGAGAGCCCAGAAATAAATCCTCGTTTATATGGTCAATTAATCTATGACAAAGGAGGCAAGGATATACAATGGAGTAAAGACAGTCTTTTCGATAAGTGGTGCTGGGGAAACTAGGCAGATGCATGCAAAAAATGAAAGCGAACCACTTTCTTACACTAGATGCAAAAATAAACTAAAAATGGGTTAAAGACTTAAATGTAAGACATGAAACTCCTAGAAGGAAACACAGGCAGTAAGCTCTGACGTCTCCTTTAGCAGTATCTTTGTGGAGGTGTTTCCTTGGGCAAGGGCAACAACAGAAAAAATACACAAATAGCTTTATATCAAGCTAAAAGTTTTTGAACAGAAAAGGAACGTATCCACACAGCGAAAAGACAACCTGCTAAACTGGAGAATATTTGCAAGAAATACATCCAATAAAGGGTTCATATCCAAAATAGATAAAGAACTCATACAACTTAACACCAAAAAACCCCACACAATCCAATTAAAAACTGGGCAGAGGACCTGAATAGACGTTTCTCCAAAGAGGACGTATGCCAATAGACATACAAAAAGGTCGTCACCATCACTAATTATCAGGGAAATGCACATTGAAACCACAATGAGATATCAATCACCTCACACCGGTCAGAATGGCTATCATCAATAAGTCAACAAATCAGCGATGGTGAGGAGAAAAGGGAACCCTCGTACACTGCTGATGGGATTGTCTACTGAGGCAGCCACTACGAAGGAAACAGTATGGCGGTTCCTCAAAAAAGTTAAAAATACAGGTGCCATGTGATCCAGCAATTCCATTTCTGGGTATTTACCCCAAGAAAACAAAAACATGAATTCAAAAAGATATATGCACCCCTCTCCTATGTTCATGGCCAACATTATTTACAGTAGCCAAGATACGGAAGCAGCCTAGGTGTCCATCGATAAGACGAAAGGATAAAGAAGACGTGGTGTATATGTACACCATGGAATATTACTCAGCCGTAACAGAATGAAATCTTACCATTGATGACAGCATGGATGGGCCTAGAGGGTATTATGCTCAGTGAAATAAGTCAGAGAAAGACACAAATACTGTATGATTTCACTTATATGTGGAATCTAAAAACAACAACCACACACAGATGACTAAACAAAACAGAAACAGACCCAGAGATATAGAGGACAAGCTGATGGACGCCAAAGGGGAATGGGGTGAGGGAATGGGAATGTAAAAAACACGCAGGAAATAGAAGCTTCCAGTGTCTCGAGGTCTGGGTCTTTACTGTCATGTCCACGGTACCATACTGGTCAAGCAACCACAGAGCCCAGAGTCAAGGGCCAGGACACAGACCCCACCTCTCCTTGGGAAGAGAGCCACAGACATTTTTAAAGCACCCCAGGCTTCATGCCCCATTGCTGCTCTTCCTGCTTGGGCTGTAGCCACACGGGCCTCCCTGACGCTCCTGAAGCCTGCGCAGCATGCTCCCACCTCAGGGCCATGCTCCCACCTCAGGGCCATGCTCCCACCTCAGGGCCTCACGCTTTCTCTTCCTTCCGTTGATTAGAGTGGTGGTGCTCAGTAACTAGTTGTAGAATGGTCTCAAACACCTCTCAGCCTCTCTCCTCTCTCCTCTCTCCTCTCCACAGCTAGAGGGCTTCTTTTAAACATACACACCATTGTTTCCCCTGCCTATAACCTCCCTGGCTCCCCATGACCCCTGAGGGGAGACCTTCCCCAGTCTGCATGCCCATCCCTCATAGCCCAGTCTCATGCCACCCCTCCCCCATGTTGCTCTCAAAGCCACAAATCCCCCTCTTCCCACCACACCACATGCTGGGGCCCTCTCCCTGCAATGCCCTTCCTCTCATCTGTCTGGCTACTCCTGCTCACCCTTGAAGACCGAAAGCTGCCTTCTCCGGGAAGCAGTCCCAGATCTCAGGCTGCGGTAAACACCTCTGCTGTGCTCTCAGATCCCTGCACCAGCCCTTTCCATGGTACAGTCTGACTCCCCCAGGGCGGGAGCTTCTATCTGGGCCCTGGCCCTCAATGGCCAGATCCTCAGGCCTCAGCCCTCGTCCACACCAATTTGTGAGGGAGAAAAAATTCTTTATTGATAAATAGGTTACAGTAAAATAAAGTGATGTGTTTGGGGGGGGGGGTAAAAACTCTGAGTCTGTCTGTCCACCCGCCTCTAGCTCTTGGCTTCTGCCTTCACCCTGGTCTCTTTGGATGATGAGGCCGCGGTGGACATGCCAGGCCTTTTTGGGCCCCTGGGGACCTCTGTCTTCCTGGCCAGTGGTTCAGGCACCATCTTGGACTCTCTGTCCTTAGGAGCAGCCGCAGCTTTGGCTTTCGACCCTTTCCTGGCCCCCTGGGCAGTGGCCTCTTTAAGGACCTTGTTCCCTGTCTTCTTTTTGGCCGGGGAAGTCACACCATTTTCACTCTGTAAGAGAGCAAACCAAGGAGCAAGGCCACAAAGCTGGTGAGGTGGGGCACACAGCTCGGAGCCGCCAGCACGCGGGTGAAATCCTAGCTCTGGGAGGCTCTGGCCAAGAGACCTCACCTCCCTAAGACTCTGTCTTAACTGTGAAACGGGGATGGTGGTCCTCGGGGCGCTGGTGGGCCCGGGAGGAGGAGAGGTGCTTTATAGGAAAACAAGTGACCCCCTTTCCCCAGCTGACTTCCAGGGGCCGGGGAGGGGCCCAAACTCCGGCCTGTGCAGGGAGCAGGCCCAGACCAGGGAGCCCCACAGGCACCTACCTTGGGGACTGTGGGTTTTGAGCTCTGAGTCCTAGCCTTGGTTTTCCTCTGGGCCTTGGCATCTGCTGGAAACGGGAGGGCATGGGGGAAGGACCCTCAGGAGGAGGTGCTGGTGGGCAGGGAGGCTCGGGGGCTCCAGAGCCCTGGTCCTGCCTGGGCCCCCCTCCTCACTCTGCCACTGACTGACTTGGGGCAAGTGGTTTAGCCCAGAGCCTGGCTGCCCTGGTCTGCACACTGGGAACGACAGTGTCTCCCTAAGGAGTCGGAGGATGAGAGTCCCTCACTCTCAGCCTTGCTCTGACCCCAGTGCTCTGTGCCCACCCACAACAAAGGGCCCAACAGGTTTATCAGCCTCTAGTCCAATGGTTCTCAGCCTTCCTAATGCCGCGACCCTTTAATACAGTTCCTCATGTTGTGGTGACCCCCAACCATAAAATTATTTTCGTGGCTACTTCATAACTGTAATTTTGCTACTGTTATGAATCGTAATGTAAATATTGATATGCAGGATGTATTTTCATTGTTACAAATGGAACATAATTAAAGCATAGTGATTAATCACAAAAACAATACGTAATTATATGTGTGTTTGCCGATGGTCTTAGGCGACCCCCGTGAAAGGGTCGTTCGACCCCCAGAGGGGTCGCGACCCACAGATTGAGAACTGCTGCTCTAGTCTTTGGTCCATCTCCCACATGGCAGCCGAGGTACATTTAAAATACCTCAGACCCTAGCTGCTCCCTGTTCAGTCTTTCCATGGCTCCTCATTGTTCCCCAGATAAAGTCGACTCCCGGCTGCCCTCCCCAGCCTCCCCTGCTGCTGCCCCTCTATACCCCCCACTCAATTGCACACAGAACCGTTTACACGTCCTCAAATGCTTTACCTTCATTTCTCCAGGCCTTTGCTTAGGCTGCTCTTCTGCCTGGGACACCTGCTCCAGGAAGCCTTCCCTGACTCCTCTCCCGCCCCCCCAATCAGCTTTCATGAGTCGCGTCTGTCCGGGTCGAGCCTGATGCTCAGGGCACATGGACCAGATAGGAAATCTCCTCCCGGAGCCAGCCCCTCCATCCTTACACCCAGTGGCTGCCCACACCCTCCTCTTGCCTCTTACACACCTACCTGGGCTGTCCTTCTTGCCTTTAATCTTTAACTTCCCAGGGGGCCCGCTGGCACCAGGAGGGGCCTCTGTGGCCTTGTCTGGCTGTTGGGGGGCCTTCCTGGCCTTGCCCCCTCTTGCCTCTTCGCCCTTGGTCTGGCCATCTTTCTTGGGGGCCTCCTCCTTGGCCTCACCAGGTCTCCGGGGGGCCGACACGGTGGCTGTCCTCCTGGGCTGGATTTTTTTCTTTTGCTTGGGAACTAACTGGCAGAGGAGAGAATGGGGTGGGGTTGAGAGCTGAGGTTCTGGGGGCTCATGTCCCTACTCCCATCATCAAGCTCAGGGAGGAAGGCCCCATTCAAAGAGGGAAGACGAAGGAGGTGGTCAGGGCACGGGGAGAAGACACACAACCACCTGCCAACTGCCTGCCACCAGGAACGCGTTCAGTCCTTTCTCTGCACTGAGGCAGGGCTGCTGCCATTTAGGAGCTGGGCTCCCGCGTCTCCCAGACTCACCCAAGCTGCTCTTCCTGCCTCCTGAGCCCCCCACCCCACTGCACCCCCGCATCTGAAGCCTCAAAGCCAGGCTACTGGGAGCAAGTGGTGCCACTGTGAGCCCCACTCCATCCTCTGAGAGGCTAAGCCGTGAACCTTCTTTGGCATCCTCCCTGCCCACCCCTTCCATGGACTGGCTCTGACTCGCCCTCCCGCTCCCCAACAAAGCCTGCCCATCGCACACGGCCACGCCTCCGAACTCCCGCCTTGCCCGCTATGCCCGCCAGTGGAACATGGACTTCACGGTCACACGGCCCAGCATTTACAGCTCCCCCAGCCCCCCAGTGTGCATCTTGGCAGAGTCTTCTCGGCCCCAACTAACTTCAGTCTTCCCGTCCTTACAAGGGAGCCGTCGCAGAGGGTGTGCGCATCGGGGGACGCAAGGGCCCCTGGCAAAAACGTGGTCCCTGCCTTCTAGAGTCTCCTTGTGACAATGTTGCCCCCTCACCCCCAAGCCCTCCCGGCTCCCCAGTTCCCACCCAGACCAGAAACGACCCCCACTCCCAGCACACACGCATCCCTAAGTCTATGAGTGCCCTAGGGCCGTGGTCGGCAAACTGCGGCTCAGGAGCCACATGCGGCTCTTTGGCCCCTTGAGTGTGGCTCTTCCACAAAATACCACGTGCGGGCGCGCGTACAGTGCAATTGAAACTTCGTGGCCCATGCGCAGAAGTCGGTTTTCGGCCTGGGCGAGTCTATTTTGAAGAAGTACTGTTGATATTTGGCTCTGTTGACTAATGAGTTCGCCAACAACTGTACTAGGGCCTTCCCTGCCTCCCACGGCCCACAGCCCACTTTCCCGATTAGCTCCCAGGCCCTGCAGCCTAACCCAGCCACAGGTACTCCAGCACCCTCACTTCTCCCTCACCCCACCCGGCCCCGGGTCTTGCCATGGCTGTCCGAGCTGTGGCGCACGTCCAGGAGTTCTACAGGGATGGGACTTCCTGCGCTCGGCAACCATTACCACAGGGACTGGAACGCAGCAGGTGGAGAATGTTCCAAGGCAACTGTCAGAGCAACTGCTACCTGCCAGGGCACAGCAAGGCCAGGGAGACCCATGCCTCGGCCCCTGAGATGTCCCCGGTGGCAGCTGGCAGTCCTGGTGCTGGGGTTCACGTTGGCGACAACTCTGACCCCCTGGGGAACCCTCCCCTTTGAAAGAGGAGGATGTGGTGCTCAGGCAGGTGCCAGCCTTGGTTTGGAGCCAGAGAGCATGAGGAGTAAGCCTGGCCCTGCGACCAGGGTCCAAGGTTGGGCTGCCTCATCGGAGGAGAGGAGTTCCCGGAAAGGGTTGTGGGCAGAAGGGACCACAGGGGAGATGGTCCCTGGTCACTGAACACACCTGACAGGGACGAAGGTGGGCACAGCAGGGTGACCAGAGCTGTGTAGGGGCTCCGTCGGGGCCCACATGCCAGCCTTCCTGGAGAAGAGGGGGTCCCTGAGACACACAGGGAAAAGGAGAGAAGACAGGGAGACAGGACTCTGACGGGGGACCGGCACACAGTCAGGAAGAGGGAGCTGGACCTGAAGCTTAAACCCTGGCCGAGTCGCCATCCCCCTGGGGCCCCCGGCCCCCAGCAGGCTCACCTTGAAGCTGCCAGTGGCCCCCCTGGCCCTGGAGTTGATGGGCCTGATGAGGAGGCCGTGCTGCATGCCCGTGTCCAGGGCCCGCTTCAGCAGGTACTTGAGCCGGATGGCGTCCACCGTAGGGTACTTCTGCAGGATGTACAGCTTGATGGCCATCACTGAGGTGCCCTGGCACGTGGTATTTTGTGGAAGAGCCACACCCAAGGGGCCAAAGAGCCACATGTGGCTCACGAGCCGTGGTTTCCCAACCACAGCCCCAGGAGATGTATCCAAAAGCATATTGCTATGAGAGATGTCTGAGATTTTAGGCCAGGGCCCGCTTCAGCAGGTACTTGAGCCGGATGGCGTCCACCGTAGGGTACTTCTGCAGGATGTACAGCTTGATGGCCATCACCGAGGTGCCCCGGCGCTGCTCGCCCGCCTGCAGCGCCTCCAGCACCATGCGCAGCATCGGGGGGTTGCGGCGTGGTGGTGGGACGGCATGTTGGCGTGGGCCTGCGGGTGGACAGCAGGACATCACCCAGAGCCCAAACCACCTTCAGGCCCAACGGACCATAAGCATGCCGGGTGACGCACACACCGGGCACCAGCCGGGCCCCACGGTGGGTGGGCAAAGGGCCCGGGGGACAAATATACCCCCAGTCAATGCCTGTGAGCACCCCAAGGACAGGACACACTGCTTGGCACCCCTAGGCCCTTCATGGGACGGGGCACACACCGTGGAGGCTCATGGAAAGTATGAAATGTTCCCTTTAAAAACAACAACCCAACAAACAGAATAGGTCCAGAGACAGGAAGCATGCAATAGACTAAAGAATCTCAGAGAAAGTGGGGAGGCAGGGGTGGGGGGGAGAGATTAACCAAAGAATGTATATGCATAAATGCATAACCCATGGACACAGACAACAGTGTGGTGAAGGCCTGGGAGGGGCTGAGAGTGGGGATGAGAGGGGCCAGTGGGGGGGGGAAATAGGGGACATCTGTAATACTTTCAACAACAGAGATGATTTTATAAACAAACAAACAACCCGAAACCAGGTCAAGTGTCTAGATCAGTGATGGTGAACCTCTTGAGCTCGGCGTGTCAGCATTTCGAAAAACCCTAACTTAACTTTGGTGCCATGTCACATATAGAAATTTTTTTATATTTGCAACCATAGTAAAACAAAGACTTATATTTTTATATTTATTTTATATATTTAAATGCCATTTAACAAAGAAAAAACAACCAAAAAAATGAGTTCGTGTGTCACCTCTGACACGCGTGTCATAGGTTCGCCACCACTGGTCTAGATCTACCTGCAGTCAGGGCACCCAGGGGCTCTGTGAAAGGGCCACAGAATGAAACCAGCAAAACGCAGACTGTGAGGACCTTGCAGGACACAGAGCGCTGCTTTGTCTACACATCCACCAGGAGGGGGACAAAAAGGGGGAGTGGTCCCCAGAGATGAGAGATTCTGGAGAAACCTTCAACTAAATGCCAGGCGGGGTCCTTGCTCGGACTCAGAACATGATTCGAACAAGCCAGCGGGGGAGAGGGGGTGGAGTGGGGAGGGGAGGCAAGGCAACTAGTAGACGTGAATACCGGGAATATCTGATGATGTAAAGGATGATACTGTTTCGGGTCTGCTAATGTTATTGGAATTATCTTATAAGAGGTTCTTATTTTTTTAAAGATACTGGTGTTTACAGATGAAATGGTAGCTCTGGCACTGGCCTCGAAATAGCCCAGTACACGAAACAAGAGTGGCCATCACTAATGACGGCTGAGGTTGGATGATGGGTGCTGGAGGTGGGGTGGGGGTGGGCGTCACTGTACCACTCCGTCTACTTTTATGTTCATTTGAAAGTTTTCATAATAAAAAGTTACAAAAGAACTCCACTGCTAAATATATACCCGAGAGAAATGAAAACATATGTCCACACAAACATTTTTACACACAATATTCACAGCAGTGTTATTTATAATCGCACACAAGTAGAAACAACGCATCTGTCCATAAACTAATGGGTGGATAAACAAAATGTGAGAGCAATAAAATGGAGTACCCCCCAGCCAGAAGAAGGAGCGAAGTGCTTCCTTGCAAACACTATACTGAGGGAAAGATGTCAGTCACACAAAAACCACTGTGTGTCATTCCATGTGTATGAGCTGCTCTGCACAGGCACATCACAGGAACAGAGGAGATCAGGGATTGCCAGGGGCTGGGGTGTGGGGTGGGGATGGGAGGGACTGCAAGTGGGCGCCGGTTTTCTTTTAAGGTGATGAAAATGTTCTAAAATCGACTGTGGAAATGGATCCACAGCTGTGCATGCACTAAAAGCCATTGTACACTTTAAATGGGTGAACTGTATGGTGTGTGAGTCATTGACATATCTCAATAAGCTTTTATAAAGAAAAGCTGCAAAAGGAGTAGCATCGAGGGCTGAGCAGGGAGAAAGTGTGAGAAGTTGTCAGTAATAACAGTGGTTTAAAAAGGGGGGTCAATTGGGGGAAAGGCAGACATAAGTAACACTTTAAACAATAATCTTTAAAAAGTTTAAATAGAGAACCTGATTTAAATATTAGGTGGTTAGAAATGTTGCTTTCTAATCAACTTGCAAAAATTAAAGACCTTAGAAAGGAACCAACTGGCTAAAATATATATTTTAAAACACATTTTAAAGTAGAAAAATAAAAACACCCAAAAAAAACTCTAGATCTTGAGCCAAATCGTAGAGACCTAATCCATTTGGAACACTGATGTCTCCTGGCCAGGAAGAGCCCAGTGTCTGGGAATATTCATTTTGGGGCCAAAACCTGTGAATTGGTAGAGTCCTGGGTCAGTCACCCCAGACCTGGGAGTTTTACCCTCCTCCCCGGGCTTCAGTCTTCCCATCTGGACAGCAGTAATGGGGGCCTTTAAGGAGGCCGAAGCCCTCCCAGCTGCAGTGTTCAACGGGGTCCTCAGCCTGGCCTGGGCTGACACATACCTTAGTGTCCCCTCTCCTGCCTCTTCCAAGCCACGCCCGGGCCCAGGGAGCCACGCCGAGTCTCCTCCCTCCCCAGACCTCCAGCGGGATTCAGCTCCTCCTTTGGCAGCTCTTCAATACTGCAATGTCGAGAGTCACACCTCCCCACACCTGCCCTCGGGCGTTTCCCTCCCAGAACGGCACCTCCCCCCATACCTCCCAGACACCCAACGAGAACCCAGGGGACACCCTGGACCTCCCCCCACTCACCACCATACCCACTCCACCCCTCCCCCTAGGCTTCTCCCCCTCCATTCTGGCCTCTCTTCTCCCTCACCCCCCAACCCCCAACCCAGGGCCCGTGCCTTATTTCCCTTCCAATCCATTCTCCTCACTGCATCTCACATCCCTCACCTGCACATTACCTTCAGTCTAAGGGCTGACACACCTGACCACAGCCTGGGAGGCCCAGTCTGATTGGCCCCACCCACCCTCACAGGTGTTCTCCCCAACTCTGCCCCTAGCCAGAGGGAAAACTTGCAACTCCCCAAATGCTCGGCCAGCACTCCCACCTCTGGGCCTTTGCCTATGCTGTTCCTTCTGTGGGGGTGGCCTTCCTCCTTAGTCACCTGGCAGCTTTCACTCATCCTTTCAGGCTCAAAGGGCACTGTGATTTGAACACCTGCCCTGACTTCCCAGCCAGACTGGGAAGCTCTTCCTTGTGCTCTCGAGGCACCTGGAGCCCCCTCTCCTCCAAAGGAGCCTTTGCAAAAACTCGGAAAGATTCCCCTGCCCCACCTTCTCTCCTCGGGGTGAGATTTATCCTCCCTTCAGGGGTCACCTCCTCCAGGAAACCTTCCCTGCCCTCCCAGCGTGAGTGGGGCGGCTTCCCTGGGCTCCCCCAGCCCGCTGGGTGCCACAGTGAATACCCATGCCACATCACCAAATGGCATCTATTAATGAGACAGGTTTGCCCGTCAGGCTGGGAGCTACCGTAGGGAATGAACTAGGTCTGTCTCAGTGGGCCCGGTACCTGAGAAACCCCGAAGCGTTGTTTATTGGAAATTGAGATGCGGCCCTAAATCCAAAGCCCAGCCCTGCATCAAACACTTGCTGCTCTCGGCCCTTCAACTAGCTGCAGGGGCTACCAGCGCTCCCCTGAAAAGAAATGGGCTCCAGCTGGGGAGGCCTGCTCTGCCCACTTCCCCTGAGCCGGGCATCCTCAGCTTTCAGGCCCTGCCTGGCTCCTGCCAAGGAGATCAAGGTGTCACTGGAGGCCAAGCTCCCGGGAGCCATCGCAGGCTGACACAGACGCAGCGATGAGGCTGCCAGCCAGTCTGCTTGTCTTATATACCAGCGACCTGGCCCCGTGACTCCAATTAGCCCCTGATTGGGCTGGGAGGCTCTGAGATCCTGATGGGGCAGGAGGGCTAGGATGGGGCACTGTAACCCTGCCGGGGGCACTGACACCCCAGCTTAGCATCCACCCCTGTGTGAACTTGGAGTAATTGGCTTCTCTGAGTGTCAGCCCCCTGGTGAGATGATGGGGCTGAGACCCTTGTTCCCTCCTGATCTCTGCCCACCAGGGCCTGGAGCTGCTGATGGGGAATTGGGCACAGCTGGGTTGTGTAGCTGGGGCCTCCAATCCTACCGCCCAGGTGTCCGACCCTGTTCCCTGACTGCTGCTTGCCTCGGTTTCTCAAGAAATGGCAGTTGGAGGCCAACGAATGGGGTTTGTCTGAAGCAGACACACCTAGATCAACCTGTGGCCACTCTTATTTTTAAAATTTATTTTATTTTACTTTATTTTATTTTATTTTGAGAGAGTGTAAGGGAGGAGGAGACAAAGAGAGAAACAATGATGTGAGAGAGACACAGCAATTGGTTGCCTCCTGCACACATCCTGACGGGGCAAGGACCAAAGTACAGAATTGAACTCCAAGACCCTTCAGTCCGTGGGCCGATGCTCTAACCACTGAGCAACCGGCGAGGGCCTTTATTTATTTTTTAAGAAAGAAATCTTTCCCCAGCTGGTGTGGCTCAGTGGTTGATCGCCCACCCATGAACCAAGAGGTCAACAGTTTGATTCCCAGTCAGGGCTCATGTCTGGGTTATGGGCTCCATCCCTGGCGGGGGGCATGCAGGAAGCAGCCGATCGATGTTTCACTCTCATCGACGTTTCTATCTCTCTACCCCTCTCCCTTCCTCTCTCTAAAATCAATAAAGACATTTAAAAAATAGAAAGAAATCTTTATGGAATTAAAGAGCAATTTTAAAATAAAAATTAACAATGGCCATTGGGAAAGTGGACAAAAATATAAATAGGCAATTCACCAAAACGGTTTATAAACACAGAAAAATATCCTCAATCTCCTTGGCATTCTGAAAATTCAAATTGAAACAATGATGAGATATTATTTTCCCATAAAAATGACAAAAATTGAAGACAAAGTGTTGGCAAAGAGGCAGGGAGCTGGGTGCAGAGGCTCTCGCTGCCCCTGCCAGGGGTGTACATTGGGGTGCAGCCAACTTTGACAAGGTTTTCCCTTAAGCCCAGCAACTCCCTTTCTCTGCCCTAGAAGTGCATTAGTTAGGGGAGAGAAAAAGTAAAATAGAACTGACTTCCAAGTGAATCACTTGGGGCCTGGCTAAATGGCTCCCTTACTGTAGAATACTCG